TACTACTCCTTCCGTCCTGAATTATCTGATATTATTATTATCTTTATTTATTTATTATTCTAATTCTTCGTCTCCTATCTTTATATTCGCTCTTTCCCCTACTTTTACTTTCCTTGCATAAAAGTACATAAGAAAATTACACTAAAGTCGGCCTTCTTTTTAAGGTGACGGATGAAACAATAAAACTGCGATGTTTTTCGGTTGACTGACTGACATCAGCACTCATAAAGAGAAAGTCTGAACCTTATTTAATGACAATGTTAAAGGATAGTAATCCTTATTGTGTCTATTGCGTATTAACAGAATACAAATGATGTTTCTTTTGAATGGTGCCATAGGTAATAGGCAATTACAGCTAAGGGGAGACAAGGGTGGTCACTGGGTTTTTAGTCACTTTAAAATAAACAGAGTATAGTTACTAAACTGTTACTACTAATGTTACTTTTAAGATAGTTAAGATAGTGTTCTCGAAAGAATAAATGCTATAAAAGATTCATTAATATATTTTTAATATTAACAATCTCTTCTTAACGTTTTACCCTATGATTGGGATTTCTTCTACGGTAATCGTAAAGTTAATTAATATTATTAATATTACAACTACACCAGTATGTAATGAAGAACGTTGTTTGCAAGCGTATGTCCTAATTAAGTTTAAAATTACCCTTGAAAAAGTTCCAATCAGCGGGCGAAACTTTGGGAAGGCATTGTTAATAAAAATACATATTCATCGAATGAAAAATGTTTTTTAAATCAAAAATCTCATATTTTGTTTAGATGAAGAACGTTTTATTTTTTAGTTTAAGACAAGTAATACAGCAATCTACTGGTATTTTGATTGACAATGTAAAAACAAAATAAATAAATTGTTTTGCCGCATCTTTTCAATTTAGTAATCACCATATTTTATACAATGTCCCCTGAGGGAACTACCCTGCATTCTGTAAGGACTTTGAAAAAATGTGCGGATAATTTCAGAGTACGCGTTCTATTTGGGCTGGTGAAGTTTACCTGAATTACTCCAAATTTGTACCTAAAAACGTTTGAAAGCAAATTACTTAAAATGATCAAAATCAATTTAATTAAATTAAATTAATTAAGGTAGAATTACATACGTGTATCCGCTGTTCCATTCAAAATCATCCATCATACCCCAGTAGGTGTAGCCAAATACTTTGCTACCTTTCTTTATTGCTTTTAAAATTGCGATCACATGCTTCTAAAATAAATGATAATACAAAAATGCGGTCAACTTACAAATACACTTGTACAGAAATTTTAGGAATTATTATTAGAAACTGTAATAATTGTTAATTACGCAAAAAGTGATTCGAAATATTCATTACAAAATTTTCTATGATTTACACTGCTTATCTCATCAGCACGCCAGAGGATGGCTAATGTCTCTAGCATTCTAATGAGATCCAATTACTGGTATAAGCCGCGTCGTAAGACCCGTGTTTAACATACGAAATACTTGTAGCGCTTACAGGAAGATGGCCGCTGTTACTAAATGTTATACATTTACCAAGTTTCAACTTAAAGAAAAAATTCCTAGTTCTTGCAGATGAGTTAAATTCATCGTGCCGCATCGGGATCCCAAGGAGACTAGAGATAGGAGTAGAAATAACATGGCTTATTTATTATAGGACGCTGCATAATAGAGGTATTAGAAAGAATAGGAGAACAAAGGCAGAAAAATAGGCGAGATAGGTTGGTAAGCACCTTCTCAGGCATGAAGGTCTGGTCAGAGACATATTAGAAGCAAAAACAGGAGTTAAGAGGAGTAGAGGTAGACCCAGATTACATTACTATTCGCAAATAGTTAAGGATGTGGGATGTTCTAGTTTTAGGGAAACGCGAAGATTAGCTCAGGATGCAAAGGAGTGGAGGTGCGTGTCCAACCAGTCTTAGGACTGACGACCTTATGATGATGATTATGATGCTGCATAATAAGGCAGTACTCATTTATATCCTTTATTAGAAAATACCACAAATGGCGCGGTAAACGCCATCTGTAGTACGATGCTACATTTTAGGATTACGTATGCTCCAATAAGATCCATTTAAATCCCGGCGTAGCTAATCAAATTTGATTATGGTAACGTGCTTATCACGTTGAGGTTAGCTACGCCGGGATTCGTTTCAGCAAGTAGATATACATATATTTAAATGGACCTTGTTGGAGCATACATAATCCTAAAATGTAGCATCGTACTACAGATGGCGTTTACCGCGCCATTTGTGGTATTTTCTAAAACGCGCTGTTAAGACAGCAGGTAAAGGTTGGTCTGTGTTCTGTCGGAGCTGTCTGCGACGCGCTGATGATATCCAAAAAGATCGAAATCGCGATCCGCGTCTGGCAGTCTCGACAGAATACAGACCACTTCGAATTATTTTATTTTATATCCTTTATTAGTGATGAAGATGCTCTTTAAACCTGTTCGCTTATTGGTCCTATCTGTAGTCTTCTTGTCGGAATATTTAGTATTAGTTTGACAGTTCAGCACGGTTTAGTAATTTTTTTCTTGCCTGTATATAATTGATTCGTCTAGGATCGTTGAGTCGGCCATCGTTATCAGGATAACCGTTTTCAGTGATAAGAATAGGTGGATTATGGTAATCAGTTTTTATACATTCCAGTAAATATTCCAGGCCTTCTGGGTAAACGTCAAGCCATGCTGCACCACTGCGTTCGAGACCTTTAATACTTTCTACAGTTGCTCCCGTATCTTGATCCAAGGTGGGTGGATTGTAAGGGGGAACTAAGTTGGCTCGGACAGTTTTGCCTGTATAATAATTTAGGCCCAAGAAATCAAAAGCACCTCTTATTAATTTAATTTGGTCTTTGGTAAGCGGAGGTAGTCGGGATTCGGAAAAGTTTTCGCCCTTACTGACGTTGCCGATCCTGTCAATCATCAGTTGTGGGTAGTTTCCTTCCTTCGAGAAGATCGGATTCATCCACCATCCAAACTGTAAAATGCAATGTGTAGGAAATGTTCTTGAAGAGATTAATATTCAATATGTGAAATGAACTCTCTGTCCTCCTGATTAACGTAGAAATATTGTTGCTGCTGTTACGCCCTTGTCGGGAATTGAACCCGGGCGCTTGGGTTTACGCACTAGTACGTAAGCCATTTGAGATGGCAGCAGCAACAACAGCGATACGTACATTATTCACTATCAATTCGAATTCATTTTCTTACAGGAGCAAATTGTTATTATAACTATAAACTTATCTAAACAAATTTGTCAACAAAAGAGAACGTAAAAATGCTTTAAAATTTACTAAAATTTCCCGTGTTCGCTTTGTGGCTTCAATATCTTCAGGTGATGAAGTCTTTGGTTGAAACCAGTATGTATTGATTGTGATGCCAATTTTTCCTGAAAGATAATAGACCCTAGCCAATATTTTGCATTCGCTTTAATGTCATTTTTTGAACTTACCATTCTGTTTCTCTTTAAATTCCTTTTTGTACATCCTGTATATCATTCCATGTCCTACAAGGATAGTTTTCCCGCACAGATAGACTCCGACACCGGGTGATATAATAGCCGGTGCTATAACACCAGTATACCCAAAGGAGCAATACGTTAGGGGCTCATTAAAAGTAATCCACCATTTAACCCTGTCTCCGAAATTTTTGAAAAGAACCCTGGCATAGTCAACCGCATATTCTGCAATTTTGAGGTTTGCCATTCCACCTAAATCTTGTAGGTCTTGAGGCAGATCGAAATGGTACATTGTCACTACAGGTTCTATATTATTTTCTAATAGGGCGTCTATCAGGTTGTTATAATAACGAAGGCCATCGGGGTTAATTTCGTTACTATATCCGTAAGGTAAAATTCTTGACCATGAGATGGAAAATCGATAATGGTTAACCCCCAATTGCTTTAATAGTTTTACGTCTTCTTCCCACTTGTGATAAGAGTCGCAAGCAACATCTCCATTTGAACTATCCACGTTGAAATTGGGATTTATATGCGTTATGTGATCCCAGATGTTTTCGCCTTTACCTTTAACACAATTAACAGGACCTATATTTTTCTAATAAATGAACTATGATTTTTGAGTGGTTAATATTTAATTTGATCATCGAAAATATGATGAACTTCATATTTATTAGTTCAAGTTACTGACAATAATTCAAGGACTATAAATGTTTCATATCAAAGAACACACATACGTAATTCTTAGAATTACGTTATCTTTTGAATACCACCTTAAATAAACAAGGGTACACACCTGTAGAGAATTAATAACCAAACATAGGGATATTCTGTTGCATGCAATAATGAAAGGGCGAAATAACTTTTTGTATGGTATAGCGAAATTGGCACAAATACCTTCAATCAACTTTTCATATAAATATAAAATATTAATGTAATTCCCGTAAATGCAATTAAAGGTTTTGATGGTTGATAGGCTTTGTCCAAAAGACCTTAAAAGTATAGAACAGTTTTTACAGAAGCAGGAGAGGGTTGCAGATAGACGTAGTTGAAAAAATATAACTTACACGTTCACTAAATTATTCATCAAGAATTACGTAAAAAGTATTAAAAAATACTTTTGTGAGATTTTTAGTACCTCAGTCGCAAATTTTGGATTATTTGTAATCCATGTAGGTGATGTACAAGGTATCCAACATTTGTAGCTATTGCAGCGTATAAAGAATTGATTATTTTATGTTCCATCCAGCTAATTTATACAGGGTGTAACAGAAATAAATGCCGAGCATGCAGAAGGTGATAGAACACTATAAAACAAGAAAATTAGGTAAATAGTTGTATGTCCGAAGGTTTACCGTTTTGGAGAAAAACGTGGTAGAAAGTAGAGGTGAATTCAATTCCGGACCTGATAAAGAAATGCGGCACGCAACGCTGCACTCAATCAGCTGTTGATTACCACCATCAGTGTACTATTTGTTTCGTGTTTTTGTGCTCATTCATATTTGATTTCTTAGATTACATTAAGTGTGAATAGGGTGTTTTTATGTTAGAATGTATAAGGCAAACCATGTGCAGTTCAATAAACTAATTCAGTAATACAACATCAATTATTAGCGTAAGTCAGTTGTTACAGTATTGCGGTATGATATATATACGGGTTTGAACCGTATGGCCGCTGTAGGGACGAAAGCCTCGATTTCAAAGAAGACAATCCCCAAAATTATGTGTAATACTAAATTGTTTATGTTTATCTTCGACGCTCAGTAATCGGAAATGTTTACATTTTCCATCCATGTAGCTGCAGAGTTTTTATCGCACTGCGCTATTCGGTAGACACCTATGTTTACAATTCACGCACAGGACCGGCTTCGGATTGTAAATTATTGTGATTATTTCTGTTACACCCTGTATACAAGTTGAGTAACCATTTTAATCCTAATTATTATGTCATGAGTAATACGTAGACTACTGGTTTGTCAAATTTTAACATTTTTGATGTAAATATAAGGTTTTTATGGCTTTTACGCAAAAATGAAATAACGAATTTACTGGTTCTTTAGAATATTGTAGATTATCGTTTCTTAATTAACTCAATTGTCATCCAGTAATATCAGTATTGAGATGACTTCTGAAACTGATCAAAAGACTTATTGACATCTTAAAACAAATTAGATTATTTGAGATTTACGAACAGTAACCTTTGTGACAAAATGAATGTACATACATAAGTAAAGGACAATTGAAAAATTAAAGTACAAAAACGCTTCCATTTTCTTACCGCTCGCATTCCATCCACCTTCTACTTGATATGCAGAACTGGCACAACCAATTAAAAAATCTTCTGGTATTTTGTACACTTCTTCGCTAAAAGTACTTGTAAAAATAGCACACGTTAAAAGTAAACTCGTAAACATTTTACTCTTTTCACTCAGAATATTCCGGACATAACTATTGNTTCTTTTCTTATGAGATAGTTTCTGACCTTAAATAACCAATCCTAATTTAAAATCTCCCAATATTATAAACAAATTTTTCGATTATAAATAGGCATTGCGGATAATTATTTACCATTTTGGATGTCCCTGAAATATTTCTCATAAATACGGTAAACTTTTGCGTGAGCCAGAAGTAGAGTTTTCGAGCAAAGATAACAACCAATTCCAGGAATTTTTAGTCCAGGAGCACTCTCTCCATCTTCGTAGGGAAGACATATTGACGAAGGCTCATTAAACGTTATCCACTTTTTCACCCTGTCGCCAAACAGGCTGAAAGCAGTTGATGCATAGTCGGCAAAATATTCGTCCATTAGGGCACTCGTCATTCCTCCTAATTTTTGTAACGGTTGCGGCAAATCCCAGTGATAAAGCGTTACCATGGGTTCAATGTCATTTTTGAGTAATTCGTCAATTAAGTCATTGTAGTACCGAACTCCATCCGCATTTATTTCGTTAGTAAAGCCCGTAGGGAGAATTCTTGACCAGGATAAGGAAAATCGGTAGAAATGTACTCCAATATCTTTTAGTAATTTTACATCTTCTTTCCAAAGATGATATGAGTCACAAGCGATGTCTCCTGTGGTATGATCTTCTACTTTACTTGGGTACTTATGAGTAAAATGGTCCCAGATGTTCTCTCCTTTTCCTTAAAAATTGATTCAAAAGGAATCTTTATGCATTTTGAGCTTTGATAATTGCTTTTCTGATAAATCTCGTACTGATAAAATTACTAAAGAGTTGGAGTTACCACTAGTAACTTCCATCTAATAGATTTACTGAAATTGAACTGTAGGAGACTGGAAAAACCCCAGAGGGGGTAATTAATAGCAAAGTAGAATATTTATTGTTAAAACTCACTTCAAGAAGCAGTAGATCATTTGTCGAAGTGCATATTTAAAATTTTCATGAAAAGTAATTAACTTTAGTGGCTTAAATATGATTTACCTACTTTATAAGTTCGGATTTTTTTAATATTTCGAATTGAATTTTTGTTTTTAATATTTTACTATTAAATACTTATCTATTTTTATGTTTATTTGCTAGTACGAAGTGTTTTCTATCAATAATTTTAAACTTTTTGAGAGTATCATTCTGAAAAATCCATTTTAACTTTAAATTTCTTGCGATTAGTTTTTCAAAAATTTTTGTCATTTTGCGACATCTCAACTTTTATATACTCTACATAAACGAAATTACTTACCACTAGCATTCCATCCTCCTTCAATCTGATATGAAGCTGTTGCCAAACCAAATTTGAAATTCGATGGAAATCGTCGGATTTTGAAACAGCAAATTGGGCTAATTGCAACCAATGTTGTGAGTAACAAAATAAACGAACGCATTTCTTTCTGTTACTTTATCAACTGGTAGATACACAAATACAATTAAGTTTCAAGTAAATATTGATGCACCTCTTTCCGTAAGTGGTCAATTATTTTATTTATGGTTCATAGCTCTTCTTCTGTGTTATTGATAGTGTACATAGCAGTTCTTTGAACGGCTGGAAGAGATTTATGTGCAGCGTTAGAAGCCGATAGTTGAAACGGTATCTAATAACTAAGATAGCTCAACTATCATGGAATTGTTAATAATATTTATCTGGTAAAGGTTATCGCCTTCCAAAAGTCGTTTAACACAATGATTTATTAATTGATTTATTTTAACGGTATAAGAATATAAACAATTACATAAAAACAGTAAATAAAGTTAATTTATACTAAAAATAAGCATTTTTGGCTAGTATTTTTTTGTATCTTTTGTTAGAACAATTTAAATTTAAGTTATTATTTCAATGGTCATTTCCATTAAAGGAAATTGAATTCAAATGTTTAAATGCTTTTGAGCCGGAAATGTTGTAGAAGCAAATTCTTTATCAACAAAAGATCATCGACTATTTGTTTGTTATAGATCAGCGGTCGATAACTGACGGACTGGAGAAGGTCAAAAATTTTTTGAAAGTAAAATAACTCAAATAAGTTATTTAAAATATATTTTTTGTAGATAACAAGTATGTTTGAGCTTTTAGTGCCACCCTTATCATTTGTTGGAAGAAAGAATATGTTTTTTCTGAATCTCGATAAAAATTTTCAAAAATAACCTTGATTTTCTATTATTAAAAATCGTGTTACTTTTATTTT